TCTGCCGTTCATCTGGCCAGTAATTATTGCCTTTCTAGACTGTACCTTGAAGATAGCATAACCCTGTACCCGGACGAGCCTGCCCAGTCGTTCAACAGCATAAGCTGCTCCGTAACCCTGCACAGTATTATATTTCTATAACTGGATTTAATAAACCCACGCCTCATAACTTAAATTTTTCATGTAGTTCCTTCTTAATTAGATAGTGATTAAATTCAGGTAAATCATTTATAGGTTCTAATATAATATCTATAGTTGATCAATTGATGCATATGTAAAAACCAACAATTTAGTTACCAATTTACCAGACACAACAATGATTACACCAAACGGGCATTCTAAATAAAAGATTTTTTTATTTCCATATACTAAACGGAGAAAAAATATCAATAATAAAAATTACACGAACAATGGCATCTATTACTCTTAACCTAACCTACGATAGCTGTGATGTGCCGCATCCTATCGATACAAGTCGATATAGGGGGCTTCCTAAAGCCGACCGGCGTCGAGTATCGATAGATGGCGCCGCCATCGCACAGCAAAAGGAAACCACGAGTCGAATTTGTACAATTTTTGAACCGATCACATCACTGGTTTGACAGTACGAAACACGTACGGACAGACAGACACAACACAGACTGAAAACACTCGTGACGCGCAAATTCAACTACAGTCCAATACTTGACATGACATTGGACACAGTTACAATTTATACATACGAAAATTATTCACAATATGGCATGTGCGAATATTGTTTTTTGGGACAATACTATAGACGCCGCTTAAGTCATAACCAAATAATATACATTGATCTTATTTCATGTTAATTGAAAGAAGAACCATTTTTACAATATAGGCACAATTTTAGGCACGTTCTTTCATATTTAATTTACAACAAAAAATCTTTCAAGGATTTGTACACAGTTTGACAACATTGAAAAGTGGTGGAAATCCTCAATGACAACTTTGACAAATATTTTCCTAGTTCTAGCAGATTTAATAACTTCCGCAATCTGAACGGAAATGTTCTAAACAAGTGTCATGAAATAAAAATTCTTAAAACACACAGGTTACATTATACCCTTTGCTTGATTGCCTAAATAAATACATTTCAAAATTACCCCATCTTGGTAATCTCAGGATTGTATTTCAAACATTGTCATACTTACAATATTAAAAATGAACAGAAATTCATGATTGTGTACGGTTCTAACAGATTAATATTTGCTTTTATTTTCAAATCGCTGACATTTCCAAAAAAAAAGAAAAGAGTTTCAAGCTTAAAGGCGACATATAGTATTATATTAAGGTACAATACAATTATTTTCATTATAGTTATAAAAATATAATAAACAACTTTAATACATTTCTGCACGATACGAGAGAAATAAAAACACGTATGTTAAGGCATTCCTCGTCATTGTAAAGGCACTGTTAGAATTACGTATGCAAGCATTTGAAAAGCTAACTGCTTTTGAGGGATGAGAGAAGATTAAGGATGAAAATTACCATAAGTTCAATAATCGTATATATCTTGTTTCCTCTGCATGTAAATGCTGAGGGAAAATCTATAGGTATTACTTATTTATTAAATATTATACGAATATTGAACTTGTTAATATAAATAATGGGTAAAAAGTGTTAAAAAACCGATTAGTACAAGTTTGTTGTTGATTTATACGGGTGTAGATTATTAACTTTCCTTAATAAATTGTAATAATTATGTCATAATACATTTAACTACAAAATCTTCTCAATTTTATCGATTTATAAGTGAACAAGCCTTCAGCCAAATATTTGTTAGATCGATTCGGAGACTCAACACGTTGTATATTTACATCGAGTATACATCCGTAATATTTATTTTATTAGTATACAACATATTCATATGAAACCAATTAAAACGGGCTGAATAAAATGGACGGTACCGAGTACACGAAGTGTATATAGGCACAAATACAACATGAATGTATAACATATAATATAATATAGGGCGCGGAATACTCAAATTCGCCCAAATAACTTCGACAGTCATCGTACTGCGTGCGGATGCGGGGGAGTTTGCTATCTCGCTCCCACGATATCGTTGCAGTTCCGTTTTGTGGTTTAATAGTTTTTGGATAACAGGTAATAAGACAAAAACGCGGGCAACTCACTAAGGCGAATTGTATTTGAGTATTACGCGACCTACACATGATATAGTCCTATAAAGTTTATGTATATGTCATTGCAACTATATAAACAGGGAGTATTGTTAATAATCTAAAACATAAACGTAAGAAACGACTCGGATTGAAATATTTAGGGCAATATGAAATATTTAGGGTAATATGAAATATTTAGGGCAATATAAAATATTGCTATTGTAGATAAGTACTATTATGTAAACTTGCCAAAATTAACAACTGTAAGACGAGTGTTTTCCTAGAAGGAAAAATAGAATTCAGCAGACGCAAATAGCAACTTGTATATGTAAAGGACTTATACTTAACGTGTGAATTGTTAGAGGGACTCGACGCACTAGGGCTTGCGGAGGAACTAAAGAAATCTTAATTTATACACTGAGATCAATTTTTATCTTTATTGTCGCCTGCGGCGATGTCCCAATTTGGTTTATTTTCTATTAGTCAAATGCGTGTGCGTTTTCGAGATGTCCAAACGTATTGAAACATGTCCGCGTGATAAACTTCAAGTTACCAATGTTGCTTGCAATGATAGATCTCCAGAAAGATAAAATTCATACTTAACCATTCGAAATTCCAATTCCAACGGATATAAAGCGATTTTAACACGCGCGAAAACATAATTAGAAACGATAAAACTAACAGGAAAACCGACCGATGTCAGATGGCAACAATTTGTACTGTAGCACAGTCACGAACAAAAATATGCGATATCATAATAAAAACCACTCGACGCTATTTTAAATAATTTAACTAATTTTTCAATAGGTCCGATGTGATAAATTCGCTATTAATTACGTTCACTATTCATAAATAATATGGATTAGTTGCTTTATAACGTAATATTAGAAACATATCATATTATATTTCTAAAATATAAATCCTTCATTTATCGAATAAAACTTACAAACAATTAAAATGTGATCAACAGCATGCCATGCATTCAGACGCATTATTAAAAAATATATATCACGGGCAAACTAGAAAACATCGTGCATTATTTTTAAAAACATAACATTTTTGTGCCCGACTGTACTGGTCAACTAAATAATACGATAGGACGCGCGAAATGTCTCGATCGATTCGAAATTCAAAACGCTCTGCACGTCACACGCTACACGACGACCGTTCAAAATTCACGTAACATACCTAAGCTAAAGTAATAATAATTACATACATAATAAAGAACACATACATAGCTAAAACTAGATCGTGAAAAATAACGTGGCCCCGCGACTCTCATCTAATCGCACAATATCTACAATAATGGCCGAAATTTTACAAAACAATAAACGATCGGACATGGCATCAGATTTAAAACCGTGATCGTTTTCAAAAAATGGGAAAAGCTTAAATATAATTCGTACTGAGTAAGCGCTTTGTTCATATCGTTCGCAACTGATCCCTAATGCCAGTCATTTCCATGCCTAACCTCAATTATTTAAATGCGTTTTTTTTTTAAATTAAATTTAGAAAAAGAAAATTTTTTGACTAATTTAAAATTTCCTTAATTATCAATTAAAATCAATTGTTGTTACAATCAAAAGTAACAAAGATCGATTTATATTTATTTATCGATTTTTATACTCTGTTAATCTAAAACAAAATACTTCACTCTGTAGTATTTACAGGAATATTAAATGTAGTCAACAAAATTAAATTCTTTAAATCTGAGGTTGTCAAAAGTTCAGCCATCTACGGCAACACTTTTTAAAAAAGTATAAATACATTAGAATATTACGGCTCCGCTACGCGAGACATCAATGAAAAAAATGCCTAATTAACATTAAATTCGTGTCAGTCAAGTAATCTTATCGGATTCTTATTAATATGTATATATACATATTGCGGCCGATTTTTGGAAATTATCCAATTTAGTGCAAATGCTAATTGAAGTCTCCCCAGTGCCTTTTTTTTTTAATTTTATGGAGCTATGATAACATTAACATTTCTCATTCTGCTAAACGATCATGTACTAATATCATATTACCTTGAAGTAAGATTCCGCCGTCATTTTTAATACTAATCACTGACGAGTCATTGAATAAAAAAAAATCACCGACACGTATGTTACATTACATTCTAAAATACATATTATCTGTGTATCAAAGATTATCTTTAACAAAATGTTTGTTTTATAAAAATGTAATAATTTGCCATCTAGCCCGGCTCTTTCACGATATAGGCTTTCATTACACCGAATAATATCTTATACCTTGTCATAGTGTCATATACATAGATATAAATATACATATGTATATTACCGAGTATAACCACTTCCTAACATATGTCTTTATAATAATTACAGTTACACTAAATACGTCTTACGTTTAAAATTTACTTGGACACATAATTTGAGCTAAGTTATTCAAGAATGTTGTTGGGGCTCGACACGTATTTATAAAAAAAAATATCGAACTTTTTTTAAACTGTTCCCTTATTAGAAACAGCTGCAGCTGATTGTTTCATATGTCATCTATAATATAAACGTTATTCACGGCCGAACGAATAAGAACATAATTCGGAACCACGACGAATATTTTTTTTTAAAACATAATAAAAATCAAGAAAAATATAAAATATTCGTTCGAATGACAATATTGTATCATTAATTAAAACTAGTAAATGCGGAGTTGTGCAACATGGCGAAATATTTCGGTCAATAAAACGGATCGCGGGTCTACTGGCAATATGAATGGAGATCAAAGGGTAAGAAACAACGTCGCGGTTCCGAAATGAGGGCCGCGTTCGGTCGGGGACGATGCACACTCTTGACTCGTCGAGATTATCGGTGCTTCGGTCTGCCCCCCGCTAGGACACCGAGGAGATCGCGTTGTGCGGCGAGCCCATCTGCGTGAGCACCTTGTCGAGCCACTGCAGCGGCCCGTGCAGGTGGATCTCGATCCAGCAGGGCGTCGACGTCACGTCCTGGCGGTGGTACTCCGCGCCCCAGCCCTTCACGAAGGACATCCGTATGGTGCACATCTTGGTCAGCTCGTACACCGCCTCGAAGCCGTGGTTGACGCTCTGCGAGAGCAGCTGCGCGAACTCGCGGTTGTTGAAGATCTTCAGCGAGCAGCCGGGCGGGATCTTGCACACGGTGGACGGGTGGAAGCCGTGGTGGTGGTTGCAGTTGCGGCTCTGAACGAAGATCGCCGCGTCGGACAGGCACTCGGCGTACACCTCGCCGCCCACGTAGTACAGGTGCACGCCCTTGCCGATGTGCCGACGCGTGTTCTCTATCGTCGAGTTGCGGTTCACGTTGCTCAGCTGGCCGAGGCAGAAGCGGTCGCTGTTGTTCGAGGGGTCGGTGAAGCCGTCCACCACGACCGAGTGCGAGTTGCAGTGGAACACCTCGCCCACGCGGCAGTTCAGCTCGTAGTAGGCGACGGAGGCCCAGTAGAGGGGCTCCTGGTAGGAGACGGGCGCCACCTCGCCGGGGGGCTCCGTCTCGTCCGAGGGGGGCGAGTAGGCGGGCGGGGGGGTGTCGGGCAGCTCCGAGGAGGCGGACGGCGGGAAGCCCGAGCCGGAGTAGGACACGTTGTGGGGCATCGCCGGCTCGGCCGTCCTCTGGAAGGGCAGCAGCGAGTGGCCCGGGGCGAACTCCGAGTGCCGGGGCACCAGAACGGGCGGCAGCACCGGGCTCTCGACCCTCTTGTAGTGGTACGGGTTGATGCACACCTCCTTCTGCTTGGCGCTGAACGGGTACTGGCAGATCTCGAGCGGTTTCAGCTCGTGGTGGCTCTGCAGGTCGGGCCAGCGCCACACCCTGCAGTATATCACGTGCGGGAGCCCCTTCCGGTGGGATACCTGAAATAACGAATGTCTTATGATAACAAAACCGAACTTCGACAATTTTACTATGCCCAAATGAGTAATTTCTACGTTCAATAAAATTATACCACAGGATAATGACACACGACAGTGTTGAGATATTTTACATAGTTCAAGAGTACAAGATTTGGATATTGAACACTGAGACATTATCGTGACCCAATGGTAATATTACAATGTGAATGAAAAAAAAAAGCAAGTATTTATCAGTGGAGTTATATAATTATATACTCTAAATAATAATTTAGAGTGGTGAAAAATATTAATTTAATCAATTAGTAGACATGAGTCATGGCCAGATATATAATATTCAACATAAAACTATAAAGCATTGAACTAAACAAAAGTACATTCTTTACTAGTTATTTTTTTTCATAGGAAATATTAATTTCACAATATTTGGTTCTTCTAAATGATGTTTAAATTACTACATTTGAGGTAATTAAGAGACATATGTTGTGCCAATGAAAAAACAAGTTTGAAAATTAATTCACAAACATATTTTAGGCAAAGCCCATTTTTCTACATTAATCAAAGGTATACCTGTAATCGTCCATCAAGTGACCGGGGGATAGTGACACATTTTGATGGTGTTCCTGGACAAGACAGAGCTCTCTCAAGTTCCTCAATAGCACCTTTTCTTTTCTTTAATTTCTTCACCAGACTGTCTACGGCCTTCTCTGCCCATTTTTCTTCCTCGTCACCCTGAAATTATAATAAAGTTATCAATGTATATTTTCTTTTTTATTTTTCTACAAAGCTTCCTCTCATTGTTGCATTATGTTACAAAAACAAAAATTTTATTGAGTGTTGGTGAATCATCAACCAGATTTAGAATTATTATTTATTAGTCACAATGGTTTAATCTATATGACTAATGAATATATACATTATATGAAACAATACAACTTTTCCAGATCTCCATGGCAGCTCCATAACACTGTTTATAATATTTTAAGTGTTAATATATAAGAAAGTATGAGTAATGTCTAAGGTATTTTGAAATTATGTTCATAATTTTACTATAACTATTTAATTTTTAAAATGCAACCTTTTTAGACTTATTGTTAGACTTAATACACATTTACCTAGTAATCTAAGTTCCTAAATTCAAATTTTTTATTTTTTATTTTTAGTTCATGTGTTGTGTTAGAGCCAATTGTTTATTAGCTTTTAAGTATATACATTTTTAATATTTAATTTAGTATGTCAACATGATAGTTATTGTGTGGAGATATATTGTAAGAACATTAAAAAAAATTGAAGTAGAAAGCATTTTTACACTCAAGATTTAATAACATATTTTAAAATTTCAGCAAAGTAAAATTGAGTGAAGTTAGAAGTTTATAAACAAGAATTTATGATATATTGAAAAACAGAAAAAGAATTTCCTACAGCTTTCAATGAATTATGGAATCTCATTTAATGCTAAAGAACATTCATCCCATTCAATCAAATGCAATTGCACAGTGCCATCATAATGCAATTATTACATACAAATTCAAGTGCCAATTACCTATGTTCTTGACCTTTTGACTTGAACACTTTGTAGACCCATACCTGTATACCTTTTAAAGAATAATAAAAACAATTTGAAGATACAAATCCTGCAGTGAATTGAAATATTTTGTTTTAAATCCCCATCTGTATACAGGAGCCTTTTGCATGTGCAGACTGTTACTTTAATTTACAAAAAATTAGAGACAAGTAAGAGAAAAATGTGTACAAAGATAAATATTGCACAAGTTTTTGCAATGGCTAATAAGATTATTTAGGATGTGCAATAGTGTTTTACTGACAGTTGAAAAACAAAGATTTAAGCACACTTGTTAATGAATTTCAGTTTGTTTGGGGTGGTATATCCACGGTCCCAATAATATATTATAACTATATTGACTTTAATAATAATGAGCATACATATTGCTTTCAATTACTTGTTGATTAAAATTACAGCTCAAATAATTTAAGATTTTTATATTTTTTCATCAACCAGGGCATTGAGAATACCACCGTAAAGACGCATTTAGTTCAGTATAAAGTAAAGCAAACTGTTCTTAATACAATTGCAATTTAAGAGTCCAGTTGAACATCAAGCACTGCATGCTAAACACTTTATTTACATAATTTACTCAAAGCCTATTAGAAGCACACCATCAAGTTCATGTTATAAATATTTCATAGTGAATGAACAGTTTATTTTCCAGGATAAGAGCAGACATAAATTGTATTAAGTGCTGATTAGTTAAATTCCAATATTACGAACATCACTATTCCATCGTAAAGGAACAGTTATTTTGTGACTGCAGAGGTCGTAATATTTCTCGAAATTTTTCTTTTCCAAAATCTACAGAAGTAACCAGTACTAAACAACTTTGAGGTTCTATTGCCCACTAACATAAAAACTACCTATAATTTGAATAATAATGCTTATAAATTATTGATTGAAACTTTGTGGCCAAAGTTTTAATATCATAGATCAAAACAGCATTTTGTCCCAAAATTTCAGCAATATTTAGAGAATTTGTTCATTAATTTATAAAAAATGGGAAAAGGGTAAGTTTCACAGTTGTTGCCAACAATTAAGAGAGTGGACCCACCCAATAGAAGAAATACAAAAATATTTGTTTAATGTCAGTTTAGTATAAGACTGTTTGTATGCTGGAAAGCATAAAACAACAGATATGCCAAGCAATTCAAATGCTAAAAATCAATGTCGACAAAAGACGCTAAGATTTTCGTTGTTGTCACGATCAGCAGTTTAGCTATTAATTTTAATTTCAGTTGAATTCAGTTTCAAGTTGCATTCAAATCCAGATTCAATGGTCATCCATTTACACAGCAACACATGCTGCAGAGTGACTCAACAACAAAAGGGAACCTTTATAAATGGTAAATATAACACTTAAAATATCTAATTTAGTCAAACATTGACATTGCACACAGTTTTGATAACTTAAAAACTTTCTAGCAATTGATTTAACATAAATGTGGGAACAGTGAGAGGTATTATATTCTTTACTAAGTATTCTTACATTTTGAAAAAGAACAAATATAATAATTCAACTTAGTGAAATCTGTGCATTTTAAAACTGTTGGGTTCAATTACCACAGCCCAACTTTAGACACACCATGAGAATACTGCATATTGCATATATAATGTCCCGGTTTTTAATTAAATATACTTATTTTCAACAGATTTTTGTTATAATGATTTACTCTAAGAATATTCCAAAATTATAAACTATTCATAATATAATATTAAAATAAAAAATATTACCAGATTTAAAATATCGATTAACGTATCTAAATTAAATTGTTTACATAAATATGTAACACAAACGAATGCCAGTGACTTCAAAATGGCATTAACTATTAACAAATAGTGCCAAACAGTGATAACTAGTGATGACAAAGTATCAAATCGTCTTCGTCCAAAATTTTACCTGTTTCCAACCGAGCAATTTCTTTACTGCGGGACTTGTGAAGGAGAAAAGGCTATTCAGACTCGACATAGGTCCACTGCTGGAAGATTCACCATCATCGGTGTCCATAGTGACGACTGGACGGGAACTTCGATGAGTCACCAAGAGCTCAGGGGGGCCCGCCGATTACCGTACCGCGAAAACACTCAATCAGCCATCGATTAGCTCACTTGGTATTCCCCACAATGTCCAGGATCCAATTACAAAATCACGAACAGCGAACATGAGCGAACACTACAAAATAGCGATTAGCGTGACACTTGTGTGTGACAGATAAGAAAATTCAAACGCCGCTTATTAATTTCAACTATTTCAAACTATCTGTCTACACTCTACAGCTTAGATTTCATACAAAAATGAAGTTTGTGGACACAAAAAAATGGTCTAATATCCGGCTGCAGGATTACTGCGCTCATCGTGATTTTTTTGAAACTTTATATAAATTGCCGTTACTAATATCGTTCATAAGATACAAAATTATGATAATCTAACCTAATTAAAACTAAATAGGTAACTAAAAATTAACATAATATAACTATAATACAAATATAATTACTTAAAAACTAAACTACTTATTTAAACAAATAAAAATAAAACTAAACTAGAAAAAAATGCTAGCCAAATCACTGCCGACTGTAGGCATCGTGCCCAGCAAGCTGGCCGATTGCCACGCTGTATCGCGAGACTGATTCGCTGGTCAAAGTACGAGCCAGCTCTTGGGTCACCAAAAATGGTAACCAGACGCGAGCAGACATCTTTGTTCAAACGTTTCGCGTGTGGTCCCCACAGCCCGAGTGACTCCACGTCAAACGGCACAAGTATATAGCCTTCGCGAAGGGCTATCTATTTGCGGCGCTTCATACACTCCGCCATCGCTGCAGCAGTTCCCGAAACATGCGACGGCGCTAACTTGTCAACACAAGTCACATCCCAGACCAAAGTGCGCCCGTTTTTCCAGGGAATGCGCATCATTCCATCAGGCCTTTTGCCATCGTCACGCAATACACCGTTTGGCTCTAAAACGGCAGGTACACTAGCAATTACTAAGGCCCGACGAATGACGTCATTAATTGCAGCATGGCGAGGAATACGACCAGCCCTGTGCTAACACGCTTGGCCATGATCACCAACCTCTTTACCACAACGGTAGCGATATGTCTCATTGATTTTTACTCCAAGTCTCAGGCTAACTGCAAAAGAAAATGAGTTATTATCTAACAGATTGCTTATATGTACTGAAGGCAATGCATTCAACCAGTAGTCCTCCACACTCCTTGTATGAAGAGCGGCTCGTCCCAAAGCCTCTGCGAAGCTGGATTTATCAGATAATCTTAGCCCAACGCAACTTTAGGACACCAAGCGTCCTTGGCCTCAGTCAAATACGAAATCTCTTCACCAATTTAACGTATTATGGGCTGATGACTAGAACGCCGGCAGCGCTACGGCCACCGAGTCTGATGGGAAGGGTGGCTTGAATCCAGGAGTTATCATTTAAACAGCAATTTAGTATTTCGCTAACAATTTTCCTAATCAGATCATCAAGACGATTTAAAAGAGGGATATGCATCCAAAAGGTAAAACAACACAACCCATATGTGAAATTTGGTACAAAAAGACAGAATTTTAATGTGTGTTTTAATTTCTTCTGGATGACTCTTCAAATCTTAAAATCTGATCATTCACAAAATTTTGAAAGGAGTCCTCCAAGACAGGTGCCGCTAGAAGGCGAAATGACACGCTGTTTACAATTTTTAAATTAGGGGCCAGGGCGTTGAAGTTAGAAATGAGCTGATTTTTTTCAAGAAGAGGTATATTGTTTGTGATAAAGAGTTCACATTTTGGAAATTTAAGTTTAAGACCGATAGACTTGAATCTAGAAATAAGGTTATCTAAATCATTAAGGACTGTGGTCACTTCGCCTCCAAGTGTCCCATCATCCAAATACCAAACGTTGAATTTGGAACGTAAATTTGTAACATATGGGTGGATTGCCAGAATTGATAATGGCTGGACCAAGCGGGTCACCCTACTGGCAGCCAACTGCTGATATTATTTTGTTTTGTTTATACATTAGCTTTGTTGGACTGCTATAACATTGCCACAGGTAATGGTACAAGGCTGGAATATGTTCTCTTACCTAGGTCAGCAGAGCTCTCCATTGATTGCCGTGATTTAAACGACATTTTAAAAAACAAGTGAACGAAATTTATTTCCAAAAACCAAGTAAAAATAATTTATTTAAAAATACTAGCAGCCAAATTTTGATAGGCAAAAAATGATTTTTAGCAGATAATCGATCAGCGCACTAATCCTGCAGCCGGATCTCGTAATAAAAGATACTTTTGATACGTAATAAAGTTTGGGAATAAGAAATAGTCACTAGGGGTTAAATCATATAATTCATGAATTTTTGCCATGGAAGCTGACCATGTGTGCACCCTTGTATTGTCCTGGTGGAAATGAACTTTTTCTAGACCAAATGCGGTCGTTTATTTTTCAATTCTTCATTGAATCCACTCCATAATCTGGTATAATATTCGCCATTGATTGTTTTCCTCTTTTCATGGTAGTCAATGAGGAGCCATGTGAGATGTCTATAGCTTCCACAATCTCTCTCACTTTCAATCTCCGTTCGGCTAAAGCCATATCGTGATTTTTTTCGATTGTCTCCGGTGTAGAGACCTCAAGAGGGCGTCCTGAACATTCGGCATCTTCAGTGCTTGTACGACCTCATCGAAATTCAGTAAACCACTTCTTTATCATGGAAATGGATGGTGTAGAGTCCCCATAATTATTTATTAGGCCTTGGTTTGAGTGATGGTTTTTTCCGCAAAGAAGCATTTTCTTGGGGGACCCTGCGGTGTGAAAATCGAAACATAAAAGATATTTGAAATAATCATTACCCTTAACCTCGTAACGCATCAGAACCCTAATTTGATGATGACAATTTTTAGGGTTCCGTACCCTAAGGGTAAAACGGGACCCTATTACTAAGACTTCGCTGTCTGTCCGTCTGTCACTAGGCTGTATCTCATGAACTAAGCTCTAGAGACAGATGAAATTTTCACAGATGATATATTTATGTTGCTGCTATATTAACAAATACTATAAAACAGAATACAAAATGTTAAGGTAGGGCTCCCATACATGATTTTTTGCCGTTTTTATAGATAATGGTACAGAGCCCTTCGTGCATTAGTCATATTCACACACACCGGCACCTGGCCGGTTTTTTATTTTAAAATTTTGTCCATTTTTAAAGAAATATTTCTAATGTTGTATCTGTGTTTTAACTAAATAATAAACGGAACGTAACCACTCGCGAACTTACCATACCATCGCATTTTGAGACAAGAATTTTCTCGAATTTGAAGTAACTGTGTTCATTCGTTCATAATTCATATATGATTTTATTTCGAAAGCGCATTCCATACCGTTTCATATAAAGGGAAGAAATATATCTCTACCAAAGTGAATAAACTATTTGTGATATAAGTCGGCGAACTTTTATATTAAATTAAATTTAGTGCACAATCATGGAACAGGTAGGAGGTTATGCCGACAAAAAACCGCGGTGTTATTTGAATGTATTCGGTATATGTTGAATTTAAATAATTACGTTTTAGGTTAACCAGTTGAAGGAAAAGGGTAACGCGGCATTGGCGTCTGGTCTTTACGAAAAAGCAGTGGAATATTATAGCCAAGCGATTAATTTAGATCCGAAGAATTACGTTCTATTCAGTAATCGGTCAGCAGCACACGCTAAAGCAGCGAATTACCCAGCGGCCCTAGAAGATGCAAACAAGACAGTGTCCCTTAATCCAACATGGAGCAAGGGCTATTCAAGAAAAGGCAGTGCTTTGGCATATTTAGGGAGATACGAAGAAGCTATCGCTGCATATCAGAAGGGATTAGAACTAGAACCTGGTAATCAACAGTTAGCCTCCGGGCTTGCAGAAGTCAATAAACAAGTAGATTCTTTTAAATTGGAGACAGCAAAATTAATAGAGAAACTTAAAGCCAATCCAAAAACAAGGGAGTGGTTAAAAGATCCAGAGTATGTGAAACTGGTTGAGGTAAGCGCTAAGAATCAATCTTTTACATGTCCTTAAATCAATCAAAATTTTATAAAAATGCATTTTGATTGTGTAAATATAATAAATTTTGATGTAAAAGAAAAATATGTTGTAATAAAATGTTTATTACTCAGTTTTTTTAATAACATATGAATATTATATAGTCCTCCTTGATTCTTATTACTTATAGAGGCATTCAGTTGTCCGTCGGAAGGAAACCACAGGAAGTAACATTATCAGGTTGAAATTGTATGCTTTAAAAGTAGATAAATCCTCTTATCTTTTTAATGTCAAAGGTTGCAACTTTATTTTAAATGAAGACAAAACAATAATTAAGTTGTTGGATTTGATTTAAAACAATAATCAACCAGTGTGGTTCATTAAACCCTGCATCATTTACTGCTGTTTATAAGTTATTTAAACTGATAGATGACTTGAAATAAACTATAAAATAATAAATTAGTCCTCAATAAATTTATCATGATTGTGTCATAACTTCTGTGTCGTAATGTTATACTGAACTTGATTACTCTCATATCACAAATTAAATTAAATTAGAGTATATGCCCCATTAATTTAAAACATATTCATCCTATTGTTATAAATAATTTCTTGGCCGTTCATGGTAGAACAATGATTGTTCTCATTAAAATAAACAAAATTGAAATTTTCTCAGAAAATCCTTTACACTTAAACTGAATGTATGGTTAACTCGTGGCATTGGGTCCTCAAACGCCTCATTCCCTCTGTTGACTTTGGACAGTGCAAAATCATTGTGCATTCGACAGAAACTCGTGAGGAACCCGTTTGACGCAAGCCTCATGGACGACGGCAAGATGGACCCGCGCGCGATGGTGACCAGCGGCATAATGCTCGGTGTGGACCTCGACGCCGCGATGGACGTGGACCCGCCGGCGGACGAGGCGGGGGCGAAGGCGCCGCCGCGGCCGCCGTCGCCGCAGCGGGACCTGCCCGAGGGGCGGCGCCTCGCGTTGCAGCAGAAGGAGCTCGGCAACGAGTGCTACAAGCGCAAGGAGTTCGAAGCGGCGATCTCGCACTACCGCAAGGCGATAGAGCACGACCCCACGGACATCACGTTCTACACGAACATCGCGGCGGTGCACTTCGAGCAGCGCGAATACGAGAAGTGCATAAAGGAGTGCGAGAAGGCTATAGAGATCGGCCGCGAGAATCGCGCCGACTTCAAGCTGATCGCCAAGGCGTTCACGAGGATCGGTGGGTGGCGTTACCTCTTGCTCCGCTCATTTCCTGCTCGTATTTTTTGAATAATGTAATGTGCAAACAAGGTTGTAGGGTTATTCCGGTTCTTCCTATGAACTGGTCTGATTTATTGACCCGCCGGTAGCTCGTTCATAAGGACTTGAACTATTGACTGTTGGTGCTTAGTCGGTTGGGTTGTATATGGGCAACAAAAAACCACAGTCTTCTCCCAATGTTAATTGGCAAAAAAAATCAAGGGTGATTATCAGATGCACTGCCAATGTAGATTGGATTTCGCTATGAGGAGTTTTTACACTATCTAAAAATAATAGGACATCAAGTAATAAAGTCACTAATTAATTCCAAAGGTAACTTAAACATTGCTTACTACATGCTTTTTAGTACAATGAGTCAACATTTTATAGGTAACGCTTACAAGAAGATGGAACAATGGAAACTGGCTAAAACCTACTATGAGAAGTCAATGTCAGAGCATCGAACCCCAGAAATCAAGACACTGCTCAGCGAGGTGGAGCGGCGCATCGCTGAGGAGGAGAAGAAGGCGTACATCGACCCCGTGAAGGCAGAACAGGAAAAGGAATTGGGCAATGAATACTTTAAGAAAGGTAAACTCACCTTAATTTAGTCCCAAGTTGGTGACGGTTTGTATCAATATTAAAAAATTTCAATGGGAAGACTGATGTTTCATGGGGATGAGTTTATTTGCATATTTTCTAATTTTTAGGGCTAGTCCTTTTAGTCCTCTGTAAAGAGAAGGCCTTTGCCTTTGGGACTAGGATAGGTTGATACTTTTGCCTATTATTGGATTCTGAATTTATTAATTTGAAATTGGTGGAAACTTTAATGCTTTCTTTTATGTATATTTTTTTTTCCCTTCTCCCTCTTCTAATAAAATAAAAAGTTAATCCAAAGTGTGCACTATTGCCCATCCCACTTGCTGTAATGGTTCATACTGCTTTATTATCAAACCTTGGGGCCAAAAACCATTTACGGTAATGACACTTTGATATTTTTATATTTATAAATTATAGATCAGAATTCGGTGGCGTAAGTAACGTCAAATTTCGCCAATATCAAAATTAAAATAACAACAAATTTATAGTCATATCTTTTTTAAATCAGTTACAAACTTAAACAAAGTTTTGAGAGGTTGTACATACATCCGAATATTTAATATGGAGAATATCAGAAATCTGGTGCATTTGTTTAAAACTTTTCTTTACTAAACTTAACTTTTAGGTCAGGGAAACATTTGTCTGTCCTTGATTGGTTGGAATATTCTTAAAATAGCACAGACCTTATATCGTTGATTCTGGCATTGTGCCCAAATTTGGAAAATCCATATTGCAGCAACTTGAAAGATTGCATAGTTGCTAGATTGGACTAGGCCGTCCTACTTTGGCTCTAACATTTGGCGTGAAGGCAGTTTTTGAATGGCTTAGAAGCTGAGTGGTGACCATTTTGGTTCATTTTAATTATCGTATCTATTGTATTTTGTTATTATTTGCCAAATTACGGTGGTAGGTCAGCCGGAGCCCGGGTAAGTACCACGACCACACAGGAGATCAGCGTAAAGTGGGAGTAGTACAAATACTTTCTTCTTCCTCTTTTAACTTTTTACATTAAAAAAAATGTTTCTTTCTTTCTTTCTTTCTTTTTACATTGTCAAAGATTCGAGTTTAACTTTGAGCTTAAACCACCCCGCAGGCGACTACAGCACAGCTGTGAAGCACTACACGGAGGCGATAAAGCGCAACCCGGACGAGCCCAAGCTGTACTCGAACCGGGCTGCCTGCTACACGAAGCTGGCCGCGTTCGACCTGGGCCTGCGCGACTGCGACCAGTGCTGCCGCCTCGACCCCAAGTTCATCAAGGGCTGGATCAGGAAGGGCAAGATCCTCCAGGTGGGCGCGTCGACCACCGTCTACTGGCTTGACAGCTTCTGACCTTTTCAAGAGGGGGATTAATCTAATCTAGGTTGTTTGGCTACCGAGCTGTGCCCCCAAGTTCGTTTTGCAACAATTTTAATAGTAATTTATTTGGAGGACAAATCTTTATATATAAACGAGAATGTATGTGTGTTTGTATGTTCGATAATAACTTCTTGAAATTTAGCATCAATATAAAGGGCGACTTGACCACTCTGACGAACATAGTTACTTTAATACCGGATAGGTGGCCCTGGTTTCAGTGATATTTATCTTTTGACCCATAGGATGAATTGATATACGAATACACGTAAGATCTTTCTAGATGCAGCAAAGCGCACCTGGCACCAGCTAGTTATTAATATTACTTAAAAATTTCGATTCATTGTAAATGGAACAAATTAACTTAAAATATTATCTAAGAATAAATGTGATCCTAAAAGCGGATGTCCCGCCAAGAGTTTTCTACGTTACCATGACAGAGTGTGTTAAATCAACCTTACACACGAAGTGTACGACGTCCACGATCATTAGTACCGCTGTAAAACCTTGGAAGTGAAGCAACTGTGGTAGTGCAACGCAACAGTCTTCCCTGTTGCGAAAATGGGCGAGTCTGTTCGGTTAAGTATCACGAGCTCATAGAAGACCGGCGTAAAGTGGTAGTATCATATGTCTGCGTTTTGTCTGGTGAGTGAGGTAGCTCGAAGCCACTTTATTTAAAGGTGGCAACAAATAACAACAGGCAACAGATAAACAGGCAACAGATCTGCAACCCCACTGGTGTTGCTAATGTCAATGGGGGGGGTGGTTATCACTGAACATCAGGTGAACTGACAGCTCATTTGCCACCTTTTGGGATGCGTTGAATGGGAAAGGTCCCTTCCTTACCTTTCCTCCATCAAAGCTTTACAAGCTTTACCACCTAGGTAGAAGGCTGCCGATTTTTCTCTAGCTGATGTTCAAAATTATTTTGATCAGCAGACCACAATTACACAGATTCACTTTTGAAAGGAATAATCTAATAATTAACAGTTCGCAAATGCGTACAAATGGACATGTACATCTTTAGGTTTAGGTCCTCAATGTTTTTGCTCCAAAGTATAACATACTTTCGTATAGGTATATCATAGTTTTTTTCAAATGATAACGCAACAAGACACAATGAAACTGTCCACAGGGTATGCAGCAGCCTTCCAAAGCACTCACCGCCTACCAGAAAGCCCTTGAGCTGGACCCTAGCAATGCTGAGGCACTCGAGGGATATCGTGCATGCTCCACACAGCTCAACTCCAATCCAGAAGAGGTGAGTCAGCTGATACGAGTTGATACAAATTTATATGCATTTGTTTAGCACAAAGTCAAAGAAAACTAAAGATGTATGTCTTTATAGTTATCTTTGCCAGTTTAGATAAATATCAAAATGTCACTGCTATTGGTAAATCATTGTGATTTGCTCAGCAGTTTTGATGTAATATTTTTTATTATTTTGATTAAACTTAATCAAGATTGGATCTAATCAATTTACGTTATTGTAACTATTCCTTATTTGCAAAATGTATATAATGCAGAATAATTCACCTCATCATTGTGCAACTATCAGCATGAATATTTACTATGAGTATTGTGCAGGCAGTTATATGATGTTAATTGAAGATTCAACTCGTGTTTGACCAGACCCATATTAGATGACTCCGTGGTGCAGTTGCTGAGATATTGGCTCCGGAGCCATGGGTCGTGGGTTCGATTCGCGTACGAGACAACTATTTGTTTGACCCACAAATTCTTTCAGATCTGGGTGTTTGTCCATATGAAATTTATATAAGTAAAACATACAAAAACGGGATAATCGTATCCTACAGTAAGGGGCAGTGATTTCGAAGGGAAGACTACAATTGATCTCCTAGGTCGCAGTGGTTGTTGGCGATTTACTAACCGCTATGATAGCTCAGTGTCCGGGCGCTCGTCTTAAATTTCATTCACTCGAGCAACCTGAGTTCTATCCCAGTGCCAGCACCGATGAAATTGTTAATTTTAAGTGCTAATTTATCACGTACTATGCCCTGATAACCTCCTTACAGAGGAGGCCTTGGCTCAGCAGTGGGACATTTAAAGGCTGTTACTTTACTTTACTAACCAATCCCACGAAACACATTAAACCCCTGTGAGGTCGTGGCTGCCCAGATTAGTATGTCCCCACCCCACGGTATTGAGCGAATGCTTTCTCCGGCAGGTGCGCAAGCGCGCCATGGCCGACCCCGAGGTGCAGGCGATCCTGGGCGACCCCGCGATGCGCTGCATCCTGGAGCAGATGCAGCAGGACCCGCACGCGCTGCAGGACCACCTGCGCAACCCCGCCATCGCCGCCAAGATACAGAAGCTGCTCGAGTCCGGCCTCATCGCCATCCACTAGCCCCCCCCCCCCCCGCCCCGCCCCGCCCCGCCAGCCGCGACGGACCCCCGCGCACCACTCGCCGTTCCGCTCTTCAGTTCGCTCATCGTTCTTTCGTTCGTTCGTTCGTTCCCCTCGCGCGACTCTGCTCCTCAGTTCGCCCCTCGCTCTGCCTGTCGTTCGTTCTTTCGTTCGTTCATTCGTTCGTTCTTTCGTTCGTTCGTTCGTTCGTTCGTTCGTTCGTTCGTTCGTTCGTTCGTTCGTTCACCATTCCAGTGTGCTTTGCGTGTGCAGAGGCGCCCCCGAGCTCTCGCGTTAAGGGGTACACTATTATAGGATCTGTCCAGCGGATTATGGAGAGCTTTTGGACGCCCCGCCTGCGATTGTTTTTGTAATTTATTCAATAAATAATTATGTAGGCGTGAAGCTGGTTTCATTTCTCCCCTTCGTTTAAAAGCATCGCTGCATTTGTGTGCGATGCAACGTATGATGCAACGTGTACATGTATTGGAATATACTAATTTATTTTCTTTCGCTATTTCTCGATTTGAACAGAGCTGCAAACAATACCTTTGCAGAAATGTATAATTTGAACTGTATTCTGAATCAATGCTCCGTTAAAAATAAATAATCTATTTTGTACGTTATTTTACATGCAATGTTTGTTACAGAACAAAATAAACAGTCTTAGAGTAACTTGCTTTTTAAACAATTATCGCAACTACAGAAAAGTAATGCAACAATTACTATCAACCGACAACTGAATAAATTTTAAATTGCTAACATTATAAACTACCAGAACACACTGGTCACTTCATTCATACGGATCTTATGGTTGTTATTGATACTAATATTTTAGTTTTTATTTTTATTGAAGAGTGAATATTTACGACGCACGCCAACATCGGCTTATCACCTTGAAGTTAGACAAGTTAGGTGTAGTTAGTTAGTGTAGTTTTTTTTATATAAAACTTTTTGTTTCTATTTTTTTATGATACAGCATACAAAGATACATACAACCCTAAATTTTCACCCCTCTACGCAGACGTAGTCGCGGGCAGCAGCTAGTAATATATAAAAGTTTTGACACATTACTCTTAGAGCAAGATCCCAGGGCCCCATATATCATTTACTGTCTCAGAAATAAAATGTGACGATCATGTGCGATTGTATATAATATTTTATATAGATTGTATGAATGTAATAAATAATAGTTACTACATTATGTGTGATTGTTTATTAACAGAAGTGTAGTTTACTTTTAGGGTTGGGAACCATACTTTATAATATAGTACTCTACTTAATTTTTGGTAGATATATTTTATACATGTAGGTATATATGTTATATTATACTATTATATTAAATTATATTTAGTAAAAAAAGGCCACAGGAATGGCATTATAAAATCGTAGCTCTACGTTAATTATATTATTACATACGTCATTTTCGTCCTTTTTTGGAAATTAATAATAGTCTTTTATAAAAATTATAACTTATATAGCTTTGTTTTTTGAAGGCCGTCCAACAGGACATAATTATGTTTTTGAGGATACCTTATTTTATCTTTTTCAAATAGATTATTTTTCAGATTAGTCAGAATTCAGATTATTTTGTTTATTTTCCATAAAATTCAAATTAGTATTCATTCGGGCAAATAGTAAAATAAATGAAACGCATTACTGGATTACTTATAAATATATTCATTAATAAAAATTGTACAATCTTTTTATTAAAAACAAAATGCTATAACTATCCGTTGGTATACATACAAACATTTCTGTACTTATAAGATTATTTAGCTATCAGTCTTCGAAATAACAGTTCCTTACTCGTAGGTATCTAATATAGAAGTAAAGTATACACGGGTTTTGATATATTTTACGCTTTCTTTTGATTAGTTGACTTCTACGATGTGTTTCAGAAACCGGGCCTGATTCTATTAAATTAACGTAAACAGCGGGTCACATCGCCCATATAACTTACAATATCTGACAGGATTTGTACGTAGCAGCAACCACTCTGTGCTTTAGATGCAATGATATTATATAAAAATAGAGATAACGAGGTAGATATGGCATTGGCGCACCGAAACTGAGGCATTCAAATTACGGCAATTGGTGTAATTACTCTTCTGTTCGGTCTGATTCTATCTATTTTATGACTAATGCAACTCTATAGGCCGATATCGCTTTCCGTATCATACATTCTATATAATCTCACATTCATTTATATAGTTATGTCATATAATGTAAAGTGAAACAATTTTTGCGTCATTTTTCATAAAACATCATTGTTTAGATGTTCATGAGCGGCTGTAATCACTACCCGTCACTTAAATGCCAGTTGGCTTGCTGACTTATGACATAAAATAAGAACGCGCAATATTGATAATAATGGGAACTAACGAAAAAGAACCATGTTGGTCACAAAAACAGAAATACCAAAAGAAAATTAAAAAGCATGAAAATAGAATATATAATAAAAAATAAGTATTTACTTAATTTTTTTTAAAGAAATTTTGCTATTGCAAAGTAGTAAAAGTAGTAAAAATCAATTTAAATTTGGCACCTAAAGCCGACATTTTTCTTCTTAGTGTCAAAACGAAATATATCGATTTTTCTTTCCCCAAGTTCAACCTTATAAATTATCGATTAAAATATTTTGTTAGAGTCATTACTAGTACGCAATAAACTAACACTTAAAGTTTACCTTTTCAAACAAATAGATAAATGATTAGCCTGAAGCGGAGCAATTATCATAACATGGTTCATTATTGTGCCTCTTAAAGAAATACATGACGGTGGGTAAAGGTGAACTCAGAACGTCCTAGAACGTCAGGTCGTTTATAAAAACGTTGCTGAGTGAATCGTTTGATGTGCCCGACAAAATGTTGTCGAAGTCCTTATTATCGAACGCGCCATTCTCGAACTGCGAATAATTTATATATATTCATATCCCTCCCAGAATTAGGTGAAAAGATAATATGACAAGTTGCGCCTGTTTTTGGTATGTTTTGCACTTTTCTTTTAAAAGTTTTGCTTCGACACAGAGCACTTGGTGACGAAAACGTCGGAAGGAGGTTTATATATCGTTATATTTAAGAAAACTGATATTATGTTTGCTAGAGTACCGATTTTGCCTTCACCACTTCTTCACACCTTCGCTACTATGGTAGGGCCACGCAACTACTTCTGCTACATGGTTTGAATGCAACCGGCGTGAAGTGGAATTATTTTTCTTTCGCGTTTCGTCTGATGTGTGGAGTAACCGAGGCCCACATTTTTCAAAGAGAAGAAGAAACAAGAAAGATGTCCATGGGCGGTCATCTCTTTCCAGTAATGGAGATCGAACCCTCACTACGCCAATCGGGTCCTCAAAACTTAATATGAAAAAACAATATGGTAATTGTCATAATTTGAGTTTTTTGGCGTTACTTTCTGTCCACTGGCAACACACTCTCTTGCCATCTCTGCGTTTAAAGTGTAACAACGTTTTCCGGAATTAAAGTGAATAGTAATTAATTCATCTTTTATTACAAAGTACAACAGTAATCGTGTGCCAGAAATCTAGTTATTATCTCAAAGTGCAAAGTCCTGTTAAATGTGGTAGGCTTAACAATTTAACTAAATACTTTAAGTAGTTGCACAAATGGGCAGGTCCGTCCGGGTAAGTACCACGACCTCACAGAAGACCGGCGTGAAGAGGAATTGTTATATTCCTGGGTTTCGTCAGGTGAGTTACGTAACCGGGGTCGACTTAACCGGTGTTGCAAAACTTAACCGGTGTTGCAAATGTCCAAGGGCGGAGGTTATCACTTAACATCACGTGAATCACTAGCACACTTGCCATTTTCTTAGATAAAACATCCGCAAAATAGTTAAATTCACAAAGGGGGAGTTACTCGTGCTATTCCTAAAAAATATAATACACACCCCAAAAAGGTAAGTCCGCTTGATGCTTTCGACTTCGTTGCCGTCCGTGACCACGGGAATGGATTCCAATTGCTTGTTTTCGAATGGTATACTAGGAGCTGGCGGAATGTTCGGGAAGGCTTCGTTAATTGGAGGAAGGCAGACACCTGGAAAGTTCAAAAAGTAATTGTCAGTCTATGCTACAGCGCTAAAGACTGTATTTTTTTAATCTACAATTCTTTTGGCGCGTTTGGAAAAAAATATTAGAGTAAATTTTTTAGGATGTGCGTGCACACCGACGGTTGCTTGAAAAGTAACAATTAATTAATAAATTCTGTACAGAGAAAGCCTTTGTCCAGCCGTTGGTCGTATATAGGCTGATATGTTACTTCTTACCTGGAGAATCATAGTCCATCCTGGAAGCTGCAGGCTCGCAAGTAGCGGCGTTCATGTCAAACTGTGGCGACATTGGCGTGTCGTAAAACAACTTTGGTACTTTGGCTGAGTTGCGCGAAGTCGTCTGCTGATCGTGCACGCCATTCTTGAAGTGGACGCGGCCGTCGACTGGCAATGTGTCGGTTGGCTGAAAACAGTGAAGAGTTATCGATAAGGAGTTTAGTGCGCGATAGACAGCTTGGTTGGCACAGTCCCTAAACTAGAGGCTATAGCGTCGAGGGTCTACGTTTCGATAACAGTTTCGGATGTAATCGAGAAAGGACAGAGAGCAATAAGTTAGCACTTAAAATCACAGCTGTCGAATAATTAACCAGTGTCGGCACGGGAGATTCTCTTTTTTTCTCTTTTTTTTAAAACATTGCCCTTACTTCAGTATTATTGTATACATTATCCTGTGTTGTAAGGACGTTTTACAAACATACATTTCACGTGGACAAACATATACGAAACAACTATCTGTGGGTCACACAAATAGTTGTCCCGTGTGGCAATCGCACCCACGACCCCCGACGCCGAAGCCAATACCTTGGCAACTGCGCCAAGGACTCATCAAAGAGGAGATTGAACTCTACGCAACCCTACTGCGGATTGGCGGACTTCATATATCTCCGAAATATTTTTTTTTATTATTACGAAAATGTGCAGGTTTCCTCACGATATTTCTCTTCACCGGGCATGTAATAAAGCAATTAAAATTGACAATTTTATTGGTGCTGGCACCGGAGATCGAACTCAGGTTGCTCGAGTATACTGATTTAAAAGTAGGCGCTCGGAGAATGCGCCTATCACGGCGCAATGTAATGTTTATGACCAAATAAAATTTCTCTTAAAGTGTATTTGTGACTATCAACATCAATTCCTACCTGAACTATTTGCTTGCTTGAGTTGTCTGCGGGGTTGGATGGTGGTCTCACCTCTTGTAGGCATGTTGGGCACACCGACTTAGTAGTGTCTGCGTACAGAAAAGTTAAAATCTGTTTAATCGTGTGCAATATCGGCAAAATCTGTGGAGTTTCAAGGGCCCCGGTTCAAAGAGATAAAACCGGCCCCCCACTCCCTCTTTCGACGTAGCTTGAACTTATATTGACCGATTGGCCCTCAAACTTATAGATAGGAATAATAAAAGAATATAATGGCATGAATTTATACCTATGTAGAAAAGTCTATACGTAGGGCTAGAATCCCTGTGTTTAATGAAGGAAAATGGGAAGAAATAAACAACGATGCATCATGCACATGATAATATGAAATATTTATTAGGTATACACTATATTTATAGAAACCAGAAACCGGGCGTCAGTGTATGTGAAAATAATCTTAAACCGAAAGCGAGTGTAGTCGCATCGTACCTTCAAATTTGTCCAGCAACGTTGTCACCGATTTAGACAGCGTCTTGCTAGCCGTCCTAGAACTGGTGTATTTGAATTCGAACACATTACTTAGCTCGTTGTCTGATAAACGCTTCAGTTGGATGTAGACCTGCCAACATAATGATGTTATTTCTTAAATATTACAATGTGACGTCTGAAGGGAGAGTTGCGCAGGTTTGCATGTGGTAATACCACGCAGCAGTAATACTGGATGAACGAGGTTGGGACTAAAATGCACCACTGTCTAGTCTAAACGGCGTAAAGTATTTATGCTTTAGACAGTTCATTGTACGGGCGATCGCTTTTAATTCAATATACGTAACCTAAGTTGAATCTCCGGTGGCGGCACCAATGAAATTGCTAATTTTAAGTGCTGCGTTATCACGTGCTCAGCGGTAAAGGAAAATATCGTGAGGAAACCTGCATATTTGCGAAATAATACCAAAAATAATATTTCGAAGATACGTGTAGTCCGCCAATCTTCGGCTAATGGTTATGCCCTTTTTTTTCTTTTTTTTTTGGTATCGGGGGGGAAATCTTCGAAAGATACCCTGTCAACTTCAAGACAGGGTTATGTGGGGTTTTTACCCAATAAAACCCCCTCGGTGGCCACCTTCCGTACATTTGGAGGGACTCCGGGAACTCCCATGGAACCCAACGGTGTCCCTCGGTACTACGCCTGTGGACGCCTTGGAGAAGGATAAACCTTCTCCGAACCTATCCGGCAGCAGCACGAGAATACTTCGTGCCCTGCTGCCCATCCGTGTCGCCTTTTAGCCGCCTTTTACGACAGGCAGGGGAATACCTTAGCCCTATTCTTTGAGCCCGGGACTACAGGGCTGATGCCCTAATATCCTTTGTACAGAGCCCTTTGCCTAGAAGTGGGACATTTATAGACTGTTACTTTACTTAATCTTACTACTATGACTTGACGAGCGACGTAAGAAAACGAAGGCTATATCAAGGTTGATGGATCTTTTGAAGACCATCAACGAACGTAAACCTCTTCTGGTGTATTGGACATCCGTGGGCGACATCATCACTTAACAACCGTCTGCTACTTTGACACTGTATCGCTTTTTTATTTGGGGAGGTGACAAGCGAACCGGGGGATCACCTGGTGTTAAGTGATAACCGCCGACAATGGACGTTTCCAACACACGTAGGGTTGCAGATGCGGCTACCTCACACACCAAAGGAAACGGGGAACTTCGAAGACCGACGTAAATTTCACGTCGGTCTTCTGTGAGGTCGTGGTACTGCCCGTACGGACTTGTTTTTCCTGTACGAACTGTTGCGTGGCACTGCTTACAATAAAGTGAACACCTTATAAATAATAAAGGGGGTTCAAATATAACCGAAGAAAATACCTTTTCGTTGGCCAAATAGTTGGGGTATATAGGTGTGTTGCAGAGGATTACGTTTCCCCTTTCCTTGTTTCCCACCATTTGCGCTTTGACGTCCACTTCCCAGTGATCTCCATTGCGTTTTTCAAAGAAGGTGACAGTCACATCACGCGCATATATCTGCATATATTAAAGAAAAATAAATGAATGCGTGAGAAGTTTTCGGGAGGCTGTGCTCTCACCTACTTCTTTCTCCCTTTTTTGCGTATCCTCTTACATTTCTTCTTCAAAAATAAACTTATTTTGCTATAGCTGGCTATCAATGAAGTGTGGACCCGAAATGTCAATGTGCATGCGTTTAATAATTCAGTGTGAGACAGCGAGCATTCTGGTTGTTAGTCGATAGATATTTGATAGTTATTTCAATCAAAAGTAGTGATGATTCCGCACTCTTGTCGACTTTCGTGGACTCACCACATTATCAAGCGTCGATCAGTCATCGATTCAGATCAATTGCTTATAATTTCTCAAAGTTCATTCTTTTCCGAACCGGTGGTAGCGTTTTGACGATCAATAAGTAAAAATAAGAAAATCTATTTCCTCTTAAATATTTTTTTAAGCGAGTCCCTAAAGCGAAGTCGATAAATTGCTCTAATACCTGTCCGTATAATAAGTAATCTCTCTCTCTTAATAGTTAAATAGAAGGACTTGAAAGTTATTCTGGAATTGAGTTGTTTTGATGTTGTTATGTTATGCCTTGTGTCTTGTGTTATGTCACCTGTTGTAAAACTACTTCACTGGCTCAGGAACGAACGAGACTGAACTTAAAACTCGTGGCATGTAGATGCCATGCTGTAGTGATGCAGCAGGTTGACTAGTGAGAACTGAGCCCCTCTCTGATGTGAACTAATTTCAAAAACAATACAGTTGGATCAGAGTAGAACTCTGGGTTGGGCAATTATACTTGGTCAATTACAATTGGCCAGATTCGAAGTCATAGGTGAGTGATGATACGTGCATGACGCATGCTTAGGCTGTTACAAGTGTGTCACCTTATCGCAGACTATGGTTATCAAGGTGGGTCTATACGCTGGCCCACTGTCGTGTGAGACGTGATGGATGACAAGGTTGTTTATAATCTTCGTGTCAGTGATGACGTCAGAGACGAGAGGCTTCAAAGCCAGTCGCACGTTGTGACCTTCCATCATGAACACTTGGAAGCACAGCCTAACAGCCGTCAGTTTCTTGCGGAACTCGCTGGGGTGACCGTATCCAGCTGTAGACCATACCGTTGTAATTTTACCAGTGGCTAGCGGTAAATGCATGCGATGGACGCCCACAACACCTCAGGAGTTGCGGAGTTCAGTCCAGTTCCAGCCGTGATAGCTCTGTGTCCGAGCGCTCGCCTTTAATTCAATTTACTCGAGCCACCCGAGTTTGATCCCCGGTGCCAATGAGATTGCTTATTTTAAGTGCTGAATTATCACATGCTCGGGGGGAAAACATCGTGAAGAAACCTGTACATTTTCTCTACTTTACTTTTTTACCAACCTTCTAAAAGGGGGGCTCTGGTTACCTTGCTGACCATAACGCAACGAATTAGTACCAAAAAAATTAGTACCACTTCACGTCGGTCATGGTACTTCCGGACGAGCCTGCCCGAGCAGACGCCGCTGTTGCACGATTGGAAAAATATTGTGTGATGAACAACACAATATTTTTCGAGTAATGGGCAACGAACCCACATCCTCTGGCGCAAGAGACTGGGTCGATACTCGGTACGCCAATCGGGTCGTCGAATAAAAAGATCGTCGATGTCTGTTGAATAAGAAAGAAAATGGCACAAGATGCACTCACTCTTAAAAGGGTCGACTTCCAATTTCTTACGAACTTCCAGCGCCTTCTCTATGCTTTTATTAGTTGCGCATAACAATGCCAGGTTGTCGAATTCCACCCTGGTTGCACGGCCGTTCAGCCCTACGGTCATTCTGAAGACGCCTATGTCAACGTAGTCGTCCAGTTTGGACAAAGTCTTGTTCAGGACGCTGTTAGGGTGCGGTCTGTGGAGACGAAGCCCAGTACATCAATCCTCATTCGTGTAGGGATATGGGATGTTTCTCTTTCTATCATTCAACGAGACAAATAGTACAATCCAGATTATTCATTTATTTTTAAACTTCATGCAAACACAGTCCATAGGCGTAATTAATGGTGACAGCATTTTCTACCAGTCAACCTTAGGGTGGTACCTAGAACTTGAGGTAGATGCACAAACATATTGAAGAAAAAGAAATATAATGATATATAATACACTAGCGGAGTCATACGTTGCCCTGTACACACGACTTAAATCGGATAACTTTTAACTTTAAACTTAAAATATGTGAATCTAAACCGCAAGACACACAGAAAACTTCATTCAAATCGGTCCAGCTGTTTAGGAGTAAATAGACTAGATCTGCAGCGCCATCTGCCGGGCTGATTTGTGAATCTAAACCATCCAGAGCACCACCCAAACGCAGACGAAAAAAATGCATACAAATCAGTCCAGCCGTTTAGGAGGAGTTCAGTGACAACACACGTATAGTAGAATTATATATTAACGATAATGCAATACTATACTGCAATGTTTTTAAACAATACAATTAAGTAGATGCGTTTATCGTTCAACGATCGAACACACACAGTTTCATATGTTATAAAACTTGTGTGTTTTATTAATAGGAACACTTTGATACGCATAAGAATAACCTTATGGCAGTGTACTGTCTGAGGCCATCGATATAGGACGTCAATTAAAATACATTACAAACAAGTATGACAGTTACATGACGGCCAAACATTATAGACCCCAGTTGAAGGAGTAGCCGTTAAAAAGAACTTTAAAAGCAAGTTTACGTTAAATGCACCTGATCATAGGGGCGTCAGCAAGTCGCTTCGGGCCCGCACAAGCTACGTAAAAAACGTCTGAGACGATGAAACGTTGCAAAGGCTCACTTGTAAGGTTTGTCCACGTCGACACAGGAGATCACGATGGTGAATGTTCCAGGGCAGCCGCTGATCTCTAAAGCGGGATGGGTTGGATTCAGAGAGTTGCTGGTCGCGCCGGTAAGTTTACTGGCTGACTTTATTTCAGACTCGTAGCGAAACCTTTGAAAACAAAATTGTTCTAGCGTTACCTGTAGTCATATATCTATAGAAATTAGAAAAGGGCGGGTTCGAAGAATAATGTGACCGCAAATAAAATATAACATACCAAAACGGCAAACCAAAACCAAAATGGCAAACTTGAAATACATCTTTATTAGTTTATTATTATTCCATAAATCAGTGAACATAAATAAAAAAGTACATACAGTCGAACATGGAACCTCCGCCTTTTTTGAAGTCGGTTAAAAAGGAATCATGAAAGCTCGACGTCTACATAACTCGATTATGGCATGATAATTTATTATTTTTAATACCATTAGTAAGTATATAAGTGAGTAAGTGAGTAATCAATGCCATTTGCTTTATACTGAACTTTGATGACTCGTCAAGGTATTGGCTTCGGCTTCGGGGTCGTGGGTTCGATTCCCACACGGGACAACTATTTGTGTGACCCACAGACAGTTGTTTCGCATCTGGGTGTTTGTCCGCGTGAAATTTATGTTTGTAAAACGTCCTTACAACACAGGATAGTGTTATCCTAAAGTAAGGGCAGTGTTTTAAAAAAAATTAAAATAAAAAGAACATGTACGTACAGTAAAAAATAAAATTAAAATGCTGGATGTGTTTGAATGATCTGGTCCTGATAAAATACCTACAATATTTTTAAACGTTGCGTTCAGCTCTAAATTGGTCTTATTATGGTATAACTTATAGGAGTTTTTGTACTACTACTAAGACACCGACAATTGTACACCACAGCGTTTCATTGCAAAGTATTTTGGTTGGTTGTTTTTAATCTCTTCACCTCTAGAGTAGTTTTGTGCGGTTTAAAAAATTTTCTACATCGTGTTTTAGGTTTGAAATGATTGGGTTAGAGTAATATAGGAAGATATTTGAACTTTTCATTGTCAATTCTTAATACTACTTTCATTGCCTCCTTTTCCAAGATTTGCTTCTTGATTGCTATTTAAATCAAGGTGTAAGTTTCGGCTAGCAATGCCAGATCATTCGCGTATTCTATCATCTATTGTTCAACATTCAGTATAAGCCAGCCTGTGACTATGAATGATTTAAATTAATAGAAAAATCTAGACTTTAAGCGTACAACAAACGAGATTCGTGGAGATAGTTTCATTCAATAATCTGACGTGTAAAAAAGCATACTAAAAAAGTATACTAAAATATTTTCGCGGCTGCGAGAATCGAACCCACGTCTTCGGGATTCGAGGCCAGACGCTTTAACCACTAAGCTAAACGGCTGATTGCCACATCGACGAAAATCTCAACATGTTTTTCCATAGCGACGAAAAATTTTTCGTACTTTTTTCTATAAATTTAAATTTATCAATGTGTTAAATTTTAATATGACGTGTTAAGTGCACTATAAAAAAAATTAAAAAAAAAACACACACACACACACATTAAGGTGCTCGTTAAATGGCATCGTTTAACAACGCAATCCTACGAGTGTAGATATTAGAGCTATGAGTTTCAACGATACGAAGTTAATGGTTTTGAGTAGATTGTTCCGGTCTCTTAGGCAGTAGTTTCTGCAAACCTCAAGTTTGTACCGTTAGCGCGATTTCATCGAGAATTACATTACCTGTATGTCTTGGCTGGTTGTTCGACTATACGGGCAGAAGGCCTAGATGACTGCATGATGATGACTCCACTGACAACGTTAAATTCGTCTGCACACTAGAATATGTCATAAAAACTGGGGTGACGTCATTATGAAACTGATGAAGGTATAACACAGTGATTTGTGGGGATCGATGCAAAAGGACAATTTTAAAATTTGTGGAAAAAGTACGAAAAGATTGTCGCCGCTGTGGGAATCGAACCCACGTCTTCGGCACTGGTTCGATTTCCACAGCGGTGACAACCTTTTCGTACTTTTTCCACAAATTTCAGTGGAATATGTTTGTTTTTTTATATGAAAATGTGGCAAACGAGCTGGCGTTTCACCTGTTGTTAAGCGATAACCGCCGGCCATTGACATTTGCAACAACCGAAGGGTTGCAGATGCGTTGTCACCTTTTTTAGTAGTGGGCGCCGGTCACCTCCACCAGACGACTCCACCACTTCACGGCGGTCTTCTGGGAGGTCGTGGTATTTACCGGAACGGACCTGCCCATTGGTGCATCAGCGAAGACTGTTGCGTGGCGGTACCACTGTTTGTAATTTATCTATTTAAAAAGGCTTACCAACTAAATACATAAAGAAACAATTATTATTCTGATGTGATGCACTTAAAAATTAAGTTAAACATTGTATAAATGCATTTAAATTAAAGGTCATTAAAACACAACATGAATAAGACTTCCTTTAAGGAGAACAGTAACCTACAAAATTCTTATTACTTTATTGTAGTGCATATAGTAATAAAATTAGAAAAAAAAAATACATAACTTATATAATGTAATGTGTAATACATGTCTACAGGATGGATTCAATATTTTTTTTAAATTCCTGTAATACCTGGTTTTAGGCTTTGCTAAATTGAGATGTAGGAAGACAGATAAATGTAATACCTATACAACGTGGCGCTACTATCGCGACCATAAATCAACACACAAAATAAAGATACCTTTTTAAAATTGTATAAAACATTTCCATTATGTAAACATCAATATTTACCGAGTTATTTAATTCTCCAAAAGGAATTTATTTATTTATTTATTTATTCATAGGATTACCAACATAATATACAGCATCTACAATTTAAAAATAAAATGCTAAGAATCTACGTAACTGTTCTTACAATTAGAGGTAATCACATCATGCTTTAATAAAGATAAGAGGATAATAAAAAGTGCAATGGATAATAAAAAAAATAAAAAATCTTAAAAAACAAATTTTTTAGAACAATTTTATGTATAAAACTGTAACGTAAAGTTCATTCGTAAAGGTCGCAAAGCATATAAATTGGTTGAATGAATTTAAAAGAGATAATCATATTGTTACAATGAGAGACTTGTAATGCGATGTTGTGGCACCGAATGAAAAAGTCTCTGAATGTATGAATCAGTCTGTTGTAGTTGTATAGGATGTTACAAATTTTGTTTCTTTTTTATATAATTAGTTTGTTTGAATTTTTTATGGTTCTTTTTAACGTCTGTAATTGTTTATGATTATAACGCTATGCTGTGTATGTATCTTGAATTAATAAAGTGGACTCGGAACGACATGTACATGTCTTTTTTGTGGTAGAGTTGCCTCTAAGGATATTGGACACATAAAGGCTGACGACTATCCAATTTCGAATGACCAGTTGATGCTTTCGTTGACCAATTTAGTTTTGGATGAAATAAACATCGTTTGACATGTTCGTAGTTCTTGCGCGGCGATATTGTCACATGCCAAAATCTTCATCATCCAATCGGACGTCTCGATTGTTTGAAATCACTTTGACAGAGTGAAATCCCTTGGCTGTGAATAAATCTCTATAAACTTTGTAAACGTTAAATTTTATTATAGCAAAAGTCTTCTAACACCAATTGTGCTTTATCAATAGTGACCTTGCAATGTCTGCGTGTCCACGTCCAAAATGTGCGTCCGATCAAAGTTTTATCAACGTTCGTTATATTTGTTTACTCAGTGTCTTATATTGTCTACAAATAAGGTGTAAGCGGAGTAAACAAAAAAGGTGATGTATATGTGTGTGTTGAAATAAAAAAAAAAGATCAAAATAGGTAAAAAAACTAAGAACTCGAGCTTCCTTTTTAAATGCGAAGGGACTCTTAGCCAGCAATGTTTGGAAAGGAAGAAAAATGACATGAAAGACACCAAAACAGAGATGGACATTGCAGAAGTACTAATGTATGCAAAACTGATGACATACCATAGATGATGACATGCCACAACGTGCATCAATGTAGAACGACAATTTTCTTGCGTATAGAATACTAGTATGATTGTCCCCCCGACCACACTGTCACGCACAGAAGACTGAGAAAAGTGTTACACTTCTGCGTTTCGTCAGGTGAGTGAGGTAGCAAATGCATTGTTATACAGTACATATTTTTTTTAGAAACAGCTTAGGAGCAATCATCTCATTCCCAGGGATTATTATCGTTAATGTATTCATTTATATTATAATAACCATTTTTAAAAATTTTTTCTTTAATAAATTTCTTAAACCTGTTAATAGATAGGCTTTGCACATTAATTGGGATTTCGTTGTAGAAGCGTATACACCGTCCCATGAACGAGTTACTGACTCTATGGAGTCTAGTAACTGGCGTTACAAGCTTGTGTTTGTTCCTAGTGTTTACATTATGTACATCAGTATTTTTTCACTAATTCTACGTTCAATGAAGCTTTAATAGTCTATGGACTGAAAGCGAAAACAGTGCTAAAAAGAAATAGATAAAATCATAGAAAAAACAATATTCGAAAAACAACAAAGTTTAAGTACTCAGGAAGACATTACATAAAAAGAAAAATCTCTGAAGGACCAAGAAAAAAGGTTGAGCTATTTTGGAGTGTTGAGTCGCTTTTAAACACTTGTATTCGATGTATACTGAATACTTTATTTTATTTTATTTTATATTGACAGTAGAAAACGTCGCATGGCTTAGCTTTGGGTTAGTGATATAAAGCCGTTTCGTTAGTTAATTTGAATAGAGATTTCCCGTTACGTATATGAAAAAACCAGTTTAAAATAATATATTTGTGTTAATTCCTATTAAAAACTTCATTAACTTTTCAAATGATGTAAACTTCGCTTCATATAGAAAATATTTAATAATTTTGTGTATAAGTCCATAATTCGTCTTAGAATTGAATATATAACGATGAAAAATTAAACAGAATCTTGCTGAATGTCCCAAAAAAAAGATAATTTCTTCTAAACCTGAACACTTTATGCATATTATTTATCCAGAGGTAAGTTTTCAATTGATAGCAACATAAATATGTAATTTTATTTATGATAACAACTGTGTATCTTTATATAATAACAGGCCTTTATTAAATTATGTTTAATTGTATCACTTACCGGAAAGAATTCACAGCACTTTCGCAACACGAAACTATATTACGCAAGGTATTAACCGAGCTTATTTAAGACTATTTTATTATCTAACCTCACGCCTGATCTCGTGAACGATTGATGAATGACTGAGTTCACTATTACGCGATGGTTAGAGGAAATATTCGCGGGATGATAAAGGTTGTTTTGATTTTTAAATGCTGCATGCGTATGTAGGTATGTACACAGGGTCTTAGGGCATAGTTCGCCATACGACCCCACGGCGGATTAACAGACTTCACATAAGTTCGAAATATTACTTTTGTTATTATTGATTCTTTTTAAAAGTGGCAAACGAGCTGGCGGTTCACCTGATGTTAAGTGATAATCGCAGCCATTGGACATTTGCATTGCCCATAGGGTTGTAAACGCGTTGCCACCTTTAAATAAAGTGGGCCACGGCTACCTCACTAACCAGACGAAACGCAGAAGTTGTAACACTTCTACCTTACGTCTATACCGATGAGCACGTGATAAGTCAACAGCAAAGTTGTTATATCCGAAATCGATACGGGAATATTAAGAGCATGGTTGAGACCGACATCGTCAATCTGAAAATATGTAAATTTTTATCGCGTGCAAAGGTGTCACGACTGCGACTGCATGGCCCTACCACCGCTAAAACTATGGTGGTATGGCCACGCAATAGCTTCGGCTGTTGCACGAATGGGCAGGTCCGTCTGGGTAAGTTCCACCACCTCACAGAAGACCGGCGTGAAGTTGAAGCGTTATACTTCTGCGTTTAGTCTGGTGAATGAGATAGCCGGGGCCCACTGTATTGCCTTAAAGGTGGCAACCCTGCGGATATTGCAAATATCCATGGGTAGCTCTTATCACTTAAAATCAGGTGAGCCACGAGCTCACTTGCCACCTTCTCACATAAGTTTTTCTCTAAACACAACACCTTTCATTTATGATATCAATTCATGTCAGTAGCATTTCTGGAACGATACAGACGTCTGTAGTTACGATAAACAGGTGACCGTGGTGCTTGTATGTTACCTTCTGAATTAATAATAAATAACTTAAGAACTTACGGACTTCATAATCAACCAGTTATTTCTCTGAACAAAACTTTATTATGATTTTTTTCATCAATTAACGTATTATTATTATAAGTTAAATAATTGAAAATGAAATATACTAATATAAATATAAACAACTTCGGGAGTCTTTGGGATTCCCAAGTAGGTAATAAACGGAATTGGTACCAGCTAGATAGCTGATCTTTGACACGAGTATTATTGACGGCATTGTATGTTAACCATAATAAATTTTTGTGAGCGCAGAACGACCATTATCAGTATTGATGATGTGATTAAGACATTTAATTAACACGCGCAGATAATTTTATTGGAATGATATACAGCGTGTCTTTACAATCGCGACAATAAATGAACACACATATAGGGGATAACTTTTTAAAATTGTATTAAACATTTACATTCTTTAAACATCATTATTTACAGAGTTATAAAATTTTCAAAAATAAAGAATTTTAGAACACCCTTACGTTTAAAACTGTAACGTAAAGTTCATTGGTAAAGGTCACAAAGCTATGAATGGGTTGAATGAATTTAAAAGAAACAAAACATACTGTTAGAAGGAGAGACTTGTAATGCGTAGCTGTGGCGCGAGTAGTATAGGATGTTACAAATTTTGTTTCTTTTTTACTTAATTAGTTTGTTTGAAAAATATTTTTTTTTAGTTGTGGATTTTGTTTAACGTTAATATTTTTTTATGATTATTGGCAAGTAGCGTTAGACGTGTGTTCATTTATTGTCGCGATGGTAACGACACGCTGTATAGACAAATAAATGTAAGGAAAAGAAATGATTTTGTGTTTTAAACACGTATAAAAGATGATGGAATTTAAAGATGGACTGGCGAATATAAAGAATGGATTAGTACGACGGTAAATAATTATACGTAAAAAGTACAGCCCTTAAACACTATAGTGAAGTACGATATCATAATAGATGAAGCGACGACTTCCCGTACATTTAAATAATTAAATCATCCGATTGTATTGCAGCAGATGAGGCTATGCGTACCAGAAGGACATTTGGGGAGGAGACGGCGGCAGATGCTATTATCTGTACCTAGGTCACGGACTAATTTATTACGTTTTTCACCACTGACTCGCGCGAAATGCAAAGAAGCATAAATAAATAAATAAAAATAATCTTCAAGAGTAGAGCAAACGATTATGAAATGAGAAAGGATAAGACCAAAAAGAAGCTAGGATTTTTTGAGCATTTTCATCTTTTCATTCATATTTATTCTTGGAACGAAATGCTATCTAAAACAAATGACGCACTCCTTATCACATATTGCTGACCCTGTACAGTGATTATATGTCATTATAAAATAATCGGAACTTACTCTAATATCAAAAAGTGAAATTAGTCCAAAATCGTATTTGAAAGATTTCAATACAATGTAAGACGTAGGTCGCGTCAATATCAGAACCCAATGAAATAAATCTCGTGATTAAGTTATCCCATATAATAACAAAGTAGTAGTAAAAATAAAAAATCATTTGCACAGCTACAATTGCGTATTAAATAGCTAGTTGAAGCGAAAGTGATTTTGTTTGTTTTTTTTTATCTGTGAAAGCGGCAAACGGCCTGCCATTTCCCCTGATGTTATGTGATAACATAGCAGATGCGTTGCTAGTTTATAATTAAGTGGGTGGTGTTTTTAAAATAATTTGTGTCATCCCAAATCACGGCTAACCACTAAGCGTTTTCAATATATTATTGTCTTTTTAATTTACCCAGTATTTTTGTAAGTAGTTTTATACACTATTCTCATGTATGTCTAAAGGCCGTATGTAAAACCAAATAGGCATAGACTGGCATTTGACTTTTAAAATTATATTAATTTGTGAATGAAATTTAAACTCAATATGAATTTTTGGTTTCTTATAGTGCTAATCGCTGCACTTAAGATTGAACATTAAAACATGTAGAAAATATGAATTTTAAAATTTGTGGAGGGGAGAGGGTTTTTCCGTTAAGAAGATTTATATCTACCTGCGTAATTTGAATTTAGACGATGTGCTAAAGTCTGTAACTTAAAAAAAATCTTCACATCTAAACCATTTGACCTGACAATATTAATTTTATAATTCACCGTTGAAATATACTACGTTAATATATTAAAATAAAATGCAATTGAAAGTGGTACGAACAAAATTATTTTAAAAACATTTGAACTAACAGAAACCCTATTAAGGACGATCAAAAGTCGGGCGGGAAAATCTTATAAACAAAACCTCCGATGAATACATAAGTACTTACTTTTAGTAAAAGTACTTTTTTATCATCAAAATAAGGATAACCTACGATCAGAATACAGATCTTCTAATTTCTAATTGCAAATTGAAAAATTGCGAGTATAGCTAAATAGTCAATAAAACAAGCAGATTGATAAACAATCTGAAACTATAAAAAAAACTCCTAAAAATAGAAATAAGAAAAGAAAACAAATGTTACCAACCTATAAATAAAGTATCAATAATACCTGTTTTCAAAAACATTACTTATATTGTAAGGAAAATTACCAATAGCGAGTCTTTAGTTAGGTAGATTAAATTTAACAAGTGTACGTTATTTTTTTATTTAAGTAAATTTGTTTCTGTTCATTACAAACGAACAAAAAACATTTAAATCATATCATATAACTTAATATAAGTAGGTGGCGTTCTCAATATTTATGAGTATATAAAAGAGCCCCTCATAGTTATGAAAGTAAAAAAAAGTTTGTCTAAACAAACTTATTATTATAGTAAATTATTTATAACAGTTTGTCGTACGTATATAGATACGTATATACATAGTACATATATAGATAGGGTACGTATATACATAAACTTATGAAATCTGCCATAGTGACTTATTTTGCTATAAATCTTAAAACAGATTTTAAGAAGTTTTACTTTTTTAACTTTTAACTGCAAACTTTTTTATTCGTCATTATCAAGAAATTTTAAAGGGTGTGGGTAAAAGTTATAAATTCCTATTTCTTTGCTAATTGAACGCTCGTTGATAGGAAACTTAACTTCATTCAATTCGATAGTATTCAGTTACTATTAGAATTATCTTCTTCTTGCTCGATGCTGAGGATCATGACCACATGATGTTCTCCTCCACTGCGTGCGGTCGTAGGCGGTGTGAACTGCGCACTGCTTGCTGCCGCCCACCGCGTTTTTCACTACGTCAGCAAATCTTGTCGGTGCCCTGCCTTGAGCACGTTTGCCGTTCATCTGGCCAGTAATTATCTGCTTTTCTAGACTGTGCCTTGAAGATCGCATAATGTGTCCAACAAAGCAGAGGGCCCGTTCACGGCAAATTGAAGAAAGACGCTTCGTAATGTTGAGGTCTTTTAGTATTGAGTCGTTGGTTCTCCTGGCAGTCCAAGGAATCCTATGCCAACACCACATTTCGAAAGCATCGATTTTACTGCTATCACGGCTTCTTATGCTCCATGTTTTGGCACCGTACATAAAAATAGGGTAGTCGCACTATAGTTACACGTCGAATAAATAAAACAATAAGGTGTTTAAAATCCTTACTTACTTCCTTACTAATATTATAAAGGCGAAGGTTTGTATGTATGAATGGATGTTTGTTACTCTTTCACGCAAATACTACTGAACGGATTTTAATGAAACTTTACAATAATATAGCTTATACATCATAATAAGACATACGCTATAATTTATGTACATATTTTATGCATATCTGTCTTTCTGTCTGAATGTTACGCCTTCAGCCTATTCTACGCAGACGTAGTCGCGGACAGCAGCTAGTATACTATATGGCTATCGTTTCCTGGCCTTTTCTTTACTAATTCTAATATTTAAAAAAAACATTATTTCTTTTCAACAATGTTTTTTTTTTCAATATTGTTTTAGTTTTATCTTTGTTGGTGCCTGACTTTTTTAAATAGCAGAATTTTTTTTCCACAAACGTGCGTGTATTTTAAACTTATTTAAAAAACGAGGAGGTTCTCATTCGGTTGCGTTTAATGAAGACAGTTATTTTTTGTTAATAAAAATGGTAATTTTACGTTTAAGTAAGACACATTTTCTATATTTATTCTACGCTTGGCGTATTTGGATTTTATTATAAATTTCTGGTAAAAAATTATAAAATTCAAAATCATCATTATTTTCATCACCCCCGCCTTAGAGGATAAACAAATAGTCGAAAATGTTTTCATTATAAAACCAAATATCTTTTGAGATTTGGCTAGGCTTATGTTAGACAGAAACGGCCTAAAAGTAATTAATTCAAGTACTTATTTATTTTTTTAAATAAGTTTTTAAGTTTAGAAATAGGTTTACAATTGTATATGTATAAAATGGTGAAAATTATTTAATAAAACTGGTTTTCTCTAAAACTCCCTACTAAATTAAAAATAAAATATCATTGTTAATAATTAATTTACTCATTTCATTGTTTTTAGTTGTTTTTTTGCTACATAATTATTGTTATTAGATCGTAATAGGTACGCTGTGGGTAAAAATCTTCGATCAAAATTTAATAACCCAAAATAGCGTGTACGAATTTATTATGACTTCCTATCCTATCCATCTATGGACCAACTGATTCGTCAATGATAATAAATATTTTATAACAGCAACTTTATTTTGACATTTGTCTTGTGACAGCCTGACAGCTGATGTCACTGGCAAGTGCCAAGCGAAATGAGTTAGTAAACATTGTGTTTGGTTTGGGCGAAGTTATGTGCTTTGTTTGTGTTAGGTCATTTTAATTTAATTTAAATTTTGGTTCAATAGACGTGTGTGACACAGAGACAGCGAAGAAAAAAAACTTAAAAAATTAGGTGCCAGAAATCATCAGATTTTTAATCTAAAATTAAATTTATTTGAGTCAAATGT